GAGTGGCCATAACATAATGTTGCCCCTTTGCCATTTCCCCTTACTAATTTTCCCGGTTTTTGATTTATTTGCCTCGACATTTAGACACAAAAGCCGCCGCGAGTGGGGCAGGCGACTGACAATCTGATGAGCTGGGTGGATTCTGTGAGGGGCCCTGGGCGTGGCCTTGGAAATCATAAACTACACGGCCAGCACCGACAATTGCCGGGGCAAAAGAGGCGATAAATAATTTCCATGCTAGGCTGCGGTCGCTGGCTGTTGTTTCTTTCATAATTCCGAGGGCTTTCTTTGATCAAACGTCAGGACCTAAGCCTATTGGCCACGCCCAGTCAGAGGGCAGGCCAAAAATGACGCCCACCACTTGAACTTCGAACTCGGGGGGGTTTTGTTGTTGGTTCTGCTTTTTATGATTTACGCAGATAGGAATTTTCTTATGTTCTTTTTGGGATACCCTGGGTGTAGGAGAAGGGTATATATTGTTTGAGGTTTTAATATATTTAGTAATAATATTTTTTATATATATTTTTGAGGCTTGGATACCTTAATAATATAATAGAAATATCATAGAAACATCTATACATAGTATCTAAGCTTATGAAACTAGGATAATATATATCATACAGAATAACCAAGGATCCCACCTTATAATTTCTGTAAAACTGCAGATACTTTCAGTTTTTAATTTATTTTAATTTTTAAAATATTTTAATACATTTAAAATTGATTTTAAGTAGTATACCAGTCTTCTCCTATCCAGTTTCTTCAGTTTTCTTTGGCTTTGAACCGAAACTCTTTGGTCAATTGGCCAGCTCGCACTCCTTGGACTTGGAGCTGCTTGAAGCCCCCCTTTTTCCATTTGGCATTTTGCGTAGGAAGGTGTGTTTCTCCGGGGCTGCCTCGAACTTGAATTCCATTTTCAGGGCACGCTGATTAATGAATTTGATAAAAAGAGTTTTCCACATGGCCAAAGGGAGACAGAGAGACAGATTCCCGCTCGGTTTTCTAATTAACATGAGGAGCTGCTGCTCCATAGTATATATTATATACGGGGACATTTCCATTATGGATCCGGTGATTTGTGCGAACCGATAAGCGCACCTTGCTCGGGAAAAGCCATGGTTATGGGCTTCACCCAGCTATTGATTCAAGAAGATGTCGCTATTTTAATTAATTAAGTGGTTAGTGGTGGGAAAAAGGGGAAGGGGAAGGGGTAACTGAAACTAAAACGGAAACGGAAACGGGGGGCAGGACTCTTAGATAACCGGACAAATGCTGGAAACAACTCCCAGGCAACTCCTTCTGATCAAGTGGGCCCCAAGGACTCGTAAACATGGCCAACACACCAAACGTGTCCTCACACACACACACACACACACACACACACACACACACACTCGGACTCTGGTACGTGAGGTGTCGCCCATTTTTGAGTCGAGCCAAAAACTTTTTCACGCAGCATAATTTTTTTTTTTTCTGTGCTCCTTTGCCGTTTTCCTTTGCCATTTCCCCGCAGGCTCTGGCATGTGCGAAATGTAACACTTGCGGGAAACACAAGCGGGAAAAGTCTGCTGCTGCTGGAAAAGTCCAAGCAAACCGCAGGACAAAACGCTCTCCGAGGACGCCGCCCGATAAAGCTGACAGTGAATAATTCAGGCTACCCGCCGAGTCGGCACTGTGAGTGCATTTCACCCACGGTGTAAATTTCTTAAGAATTTAAATATCTGATTGGTCAGGGGGATACATTTTTTATAGTTTAAAAATATAACACAAAAGCAGGACATTAAAAAAAGTATTTTTTTATAAGGTGAAGTAAGGTTAAGTTCAAGTGCATTTGAAGACTTTATGTGAGAGTTTTCTTTAGGAAACAAACAGAAAATCTTAGGAAAATTATGTAACTGGAAAATTTTTTTATATTTTGGTCCTTATACCCTTAACTAACATTTAGTTGTATAAATTTACCACGAACTTTGGGGTTTTCTTCGTTTGTTTCTCTTTAAAATATTTTCTTAATCATTCTTTTTTATTTATCACAATTTAATTCAGTAAATAAACAATACTTTTTTTAACAAATTATCATTTATAATTTATATAATTCTTATTTTTTATATATTTATAAATAATTATAGTGTATTAATATGAATATCACCCTGGAAACTATGCTTACTTCATTGATTAAGTTAGCTGGTTTTTAAGAAATTATTCTCATTTTGAAACCCCCAACACAATACTTAATTTTATGCATTTACAATCTATATAAATATGTTAAAAAGCTGATGTTATATTTTATTTAAGAACAGCAGCAGTGGCTTTGCCCGCCACTTGATTTTATATTCATTAATGAACTTGGTCGGCTCACGTATGGCATTTATTTATTTATCCTGCGCACCATAAATAGCCCCAGCTAGCTCCAGTCACTAATCCCCGCCGCATTCATTAACTTTTTGCACTGCCAAACTCAATGGGGGGATGGACTCCTCCTCCTCCTGGAGGGATGATTGCCCCATGGCTACCGACTGGCTGTCGACAATTTGCATATGCTCAGACACGCACTGGCAATATAGAGGACTCACACACGGAATCCTGAATCCTGAATCCCGAAACCGGTATCCAGTGATGTCCTTGGTCCTGCATTTGCACGTGTCTTGGACATAAAATAGCCCCCCCGTCGCACCTTTCCAGCTGATTCAGCAAACGAGTTTCGATTTGGGGGGCGCCGTCGAGCGTCATTTGCAGCAATTGCAGAATGTATCTGCCGGATGCGAATGTATCTTTTGTGCCCGTTTACGCCCCAAGTAATTGTTATGAACTTCATTCCGGATCGTTCGAGTGTGCGTGCGTGCCCGGCTAGCGGGGATTTCGGTGGACTGGGAATGTAAATGGTTACGGTAATGGGTCATGCTTTGGAGGCCGCCTTTCGGCAAATTGCTTTGATAATTGTTAACATCTCATGCGCGGCAGCTTAGGCCCCCTCCCCGTTTATTCCAGGACAACTCCAATCTGGGCGTGGCACTTTACACGGCAACTTGTTATTTTGTGGTTGACTAATTGCATGTGTGTGTGTGTGCAAAAGGAGTCCCAGCCCAGAAATCATACTTTACCCACACCCACACCCACTCTCCTGCTCTCCTGCCTCTTAGTCCATGTAAGTGGGACCTCGGTCACTGCAGAACATGGCAACATGAGCAGCGGCAGCAGGATCAGAGTCAGACCCCCAAACCAGGAGCCACTTGCTCAGTGCCGACACGAGATTTATGCGGCCAGTGATATGCCCAAACAGCAGTAGGGATGTGTACTGAAAAAAAACTAGGAGGAAGTTGATTGGAATTTAATATAAAATAAATGGTAATAAATGTATTTAAATTTTGTTAACGATCAGAAGAGATTTCTTAAAAGGAAATCAACCAAAACCAATATCAACTCAAAATAGTCTAAAATACTTAATTTACATTTATAAATATTTATTTAAAGCATATAAACTTTACTTTTCATAGTATTAGCTCTTTAAATTGTTTATAAAAATAAATTAATCAAGTTCTATACTAATTTTAGCACACAAAAAAATTATAAACGAACTTAACTTAAAATTTAAATCTAATCTAATTCCCTGAAATTTTAAACCCTTTCCCCCTGTGCATTTTTCGTTTCAATGGGAACCTCCCGAAAATCCAATGCGCTTTTCACAAACCGAGAACTAAATCAACGGCAACCCAGTCCTTGCCTCAAATTCGTTGGCCGGAACAGGGGGGCAGGAGCCAGAGCTACAGATGGGAGAAGGCGGCAGAGGAATGGTACTTCCTGGCCTGCCCGGTGAGCAGACAGTGCGTATGCGTGATGTGATGCTTGGGGAAAGGAGCAGGAGCAGGAGCAGGAGCAGGAGCATGAGCAAGAGCTAGGGCAGCAACTGAAGCTGAAGCAGGGACTCGGAGTCCCGTAGTCGAAGCCGGGGCTCTAAAATATACTTTGCCAGCGCCTGGGTTATGGTTTTTGCGGTTGCATTTTGCAATTTTGCAAATGATAAAGTGATCCAAGCGAAGGCAACATGCAGCGGCACCACCCAGCAGGACCTGGACAGGCAGGAGCACCAGCCAGCAGCAGCTTCCCCTTCGCTCTGTGGGTGTCAGCGGCAATGGTTCAAGTGGTCACAGCATGACCACCGCCCAAAGATGAATGAGCCATTGGCCACAATGCAATGGAAACTGTTGCTACATGACTGCAGTTGAAGCTGCATCAGTGGGGGGGGGGGGTAGACTGTCGGTGGGTGGCAGGAGATTCCGCTGGGGGGGTGTAGGCAGCACAAACACCGCACATAAAACAATCAGCCGGCGACCACAGGCTGACACGAAACGCCGGAAGGAGCAGCAAAATGAAGTCACAGCGCCAGGCAGCAACGGAATCGGAGAGCCAGCAAAGGAGCAGAGCACTGAGAGAAAAAAGTGGGAGTGAGTTAAATTAAAATTAAATATAAAATAATAATTTAATTTTAGTAGAATAAATGATTTTTTGGAATTTAGTTTTGCCTTGTTTAGGTTTTAAAAATTATACAAAAAATTGTTTCAAGTGTAGGAAAATGGCCACAGAGACGAAGAAAAGTGGGACTGGACACAATTCATACATGAGTGCCTTCATTCGGCCATCTAATCAGTTTATTTGCCATTTGGGGCCAAGTAATTGGAAGTTGTTGCACTCAATTGCAGATAATGTGCAACGAGCAATCGATTTATGCCCCAGTAACTAGGTCTGCCAAGCGGGGGTTCACTGTGACTCACTTAATGATATAAAAGAAACTATAAATTATAGGTTAAAAAAGGGATTTTAGTCTTACATTTTTTTTTATAAATAATTAAGAGTAAACTTGAGGCAAATAATGCTCCTAAAATTCCCAATTTTAAAGTCAGGTTAAAGGATAAAAAAACAAAAAATAGGACTAATGAAATTCCTTGAAAGCTAAAATAACGTTCACTTAGATTTTTCCAACTTAAAACACAATAAAAATCCATCTCTTTTTGGTGTCAATGTTATTTTAATTTGCTTTTTAATGATTAAACAGATTTGCTTGTCGATTACAGAGAAGAAACACTGTGAGAAAAGTGAGGGTAGTAAATGTCTTAAACATGTCCCAAATAACCGCTTTACAACTTGCTCTTGACGCTGCGCAGAATGGGATACTTGTCGTGGCCGGTGCAACCGCCGCGGAAGTCGTCAAAGCTCAGATCCACCACCGCAATACCGCCCAGACCCTCACGCTTCACATACTCCGCCTTGATGGCCGCCGTGTCGGGATCCTCGTAGCTCACCCAGACTCCATTCTCGCCGCTGTCGTCGGCAGAGCGATAGGCGTAGCTGCCGAAGCGCTTGGTGGGATCACCCACTTTACGCAGGGGACCGTCGGCGCCCTTCAGATGCTGGTTGGCCGGATTGGGCAGCTTGGCGCAGACCTCGGGCCAGCTGAGAAGGCCAGGGATCTGGGTTTGGGTGCCAGCGGGGGCCACGCCATCGGTTTCGGCCACTGGAGGCAGGCCGGTGAGGCCAGAGTCCTTGGTCAGCTTCCAGGCACGGCCGTAGGTGGCAATGCCCACATTGATCTTGGCAGCGGGAGCACGGTTCTGGGTCCAGTACTTCACCTGGTAGTTGATGTTCGACTCGGGATTGCGTTCGTTAAGCTCGTAGATTGGAGCCGGAAAGTCGGCCACCTCGTTGTTGCGTTCCGGCGTCTGGAAGTCGTAGGCGTGCAGATTCACATAGTCCAGGTTGTTGATGATGGCGGGCACATCGAAGAACACTGCGACCAGAAAAAGATTACAAAGGGAAATTCGGCAAGGGAAAAGTGAAAACTCACGGGAAGAGTTGACATTGGGCAGGACACTGACTCCCAGCAGGTAGCCATCAGGACGGAAGGCGTTCTTCAGCTCACGAACCAACGCGGTAAACTCCTCCTTGTGCTCCTCGGCCTTCTCGTCAACGATAAAGTCACCGGTGAAGATCTTCTTGAAACCCTTCCAGAACTTGCCAATGCCGCCATGGACCTTCTTGGGCTTATTCTTGGGGAACTGCCAGGCGAGATCCAGGCCATCGAAGCCGTAGGTCTTCACCAGCGAGTGGGCGCTGTTGATGAACGGAATGCGGGCATTGCTGCTCTCCAGCAAAGTCAGATACTTGTTGTTGTCCGGATCAACGATGTCCTTGTCACCGCCCACGCTGAGGAGGACCTTCAGGGCCGGGTATTTGCGCTTCAGGCCAGTCACCTGGCGGAACAGGCTGCTGCCCAGGTCCAGGTCAAGCTTCTCGTTGTTGCTCACCAGCTTGTTGCTGGAGGGATTGATGCCGGCATAGCCGTAGATCAAGTGGGTACAGTAGGCCAAAGCGGGCTCCAAGTCGCTCAAGATGAGCTTGGAGAGGCCTGCAAAGAAGTCCATGAAATTTATTTAGTAAATCTTTGACTGAAATGGGCCTAATCTTTCCATGAAAATAATCATAAAAATATAAATAAATCTTCCTTAATTCAACGTCGCATTTGTTGCTTAATTTCTGTGAAAATCACATTTAGCATTTTGGAGAATAAACACAAACAGACTCAAGTGCGACTGTAAGCTTCGTTTGCGTCATCAATTAACGCTTTGAAGGTGGCACCTCCGCGAAACCTGAGTCACCGATACTCGATACCCTCGATACGCCAATTTCAATTAGTTTAAGTACTACAGCGACTGTGTGGGGGTTTTCCGCCCTCCCAAAACTGCAATTTACTCGAATTTGCCACGGTAACAGCTCTGGGGGCCCCGTGATCTTGTGACCCGCTGCCAATTATCAGCCACAACTTTATGCTTTTAGCAAGCGCCTATGAAAAGTGAAAATCATCTAATTGAATTTGCTGCCAGCCACAGATCGTTTTATATATATATTTTCTATATATTTTGCTTGGAGGGAGGCGAAGGTACTCCCCCGATAACCCCAATCTAGCGTTATCGTCCCCAGGCAACGGGACTTACCCTCGCGGACAAAGCTGCTGCCATCGTAGTAGCAGAGCAGATGATGTGAGCCGGCGGCGGAGATCTGGCCAATGGCCAGAGATCCCACCAAAAGTGAGAGCAGGGCGTAGAGCTTCATGTCTTACTGCAAAGAGGAGAAAAAATATTAAATAAATAGGAAAATAAGATAAAAATTATAAGTACTACAGCTAAGGCGAAGGGCAACGAGGTTCTGGGAATCTTCTGGAAGAAACTAGTTGATTCTGAACTTATTTTGGGCTGGAATAATTATGAATAAAATATTTGAAAACCAGCTCTGAAATTGTTTAAATATTCTCAGTATTTTAAAATTATTTTAACTTCTTAAAAACGATTTTTCTTATTTTTTAAAATTGAATCTAATTAATAAAGAATTTTAAGGAAAATATTAAAGCCAAAACAAACTCAAGTCTAAGAGTAGAAAACTCTTTAAAGGTAAAAAAAATATTAAAAATTCACTAATTTAATTAATTGTAAATATTTCAAAATTTTAAGAGATTAAAAAAATTATTTCAAATCATCTAAAAGATACACAAATCAAAATTATAAGCAGCAAATTCTTTAAAAAAACATTTCAAAATTATCTAAAAAAGGTAACCACATAAAAATAAGTCAAAGCATTTAATTATTTAAGTTTAAAACTATTAAAAAATAACCACAAAAACCACAATAAATTTCCAAGAAACCCAAAGCTTAGATCGTATCACTATCAAGCCCACTGATACTGGAAATTATAGTTCCAGTTCCAGGCCATCAAAATTGATATTGTCACAGCAACAACATTGAGTGCGATTTCACAGAAACAAAAACAACAGAAAATAAAGATGGGGAAACACAGATTGACAGAAATTATAAAATATTCCAAATTCAAATTCAAATTCACCGACTTTTGTTGTGCTCGCATTAAACGCAAAACTGAAACTGAAAAGGCCGAGGTGATCCAAACTTTAAGTGAACTCGATGAGAATACGAAAATGGGGTATGAGGTGGATGCAGGGAGAGGCGGAGGAAGATGGGGAGAAGCAGATAGAGACGGAGACAGAGAGACGGAGGCGGAGAGACGGAGAGGCGGAGAGCGAGGGCAAAGCGAACGCAGCGAGAATAAAAACGCGGCTTGAAAATGTATGAAAACGGAGCGAAAATATAGACAGAGAACACGGAGGCACTGTAAGAAAAAGTTGTGTGATTTAATAATTAATAATTAAATATAGATTGCATTAAAAATATAGAAATATTGATAAAAATCATGTCATATATATATAAGTAAATATTTATATCAAGAAATTATTTATTAATTTATATAAAATTTATAAATTTACTTAAAATTAATATGTTAAATTTCTGAAAAAATATATTTTCATCTTTCTTTTCTTCCTTAATAATAAAATTAATAATATAATAATTATAATAATAATATTAAGGTGATAAATATATATAAAATATTGTATATAAATTTAATTTTATTTTTCTGTATGCAATTCGAAATTTTTTTTTTTCGTGTAGTCTAACCTAGCTTAAAATTAAATCCAAATATTATTTGTAGAAGCTGTTGATTGGTATTGATAGTTACAATAGCTGAATTCCATATTATTTATATAGCTCTAAATAATCAATTAAGTCTTGTGCTTAAAAGTAAATAACATTCACATTTAACCATTAAAAATTAAACATTTTTCTTAAAAGAAAATTAATAATTTATTGAAGATCACTTGAGAGCGGTAGACCTTCAGTTTAGATCAATCTATTTACTTAGATCTTAGAAATAGTATACCAAGATAATTAAATGATGATTAGTATTTGTGTTCTGTTGATTTTAATGATTAATTCACAAATTTGCATATTTAGTTATGTAAATAAGGGTATATTTTGTACTTCTTCTAAAGATTAATCTATTAAATTTATATATTCCTTAAATAATCTTTGTTTAAATCTTAGTAAGCTTAAGTTTGAGCTTTGTTTTCTTTATCAAATGTACAATTAAATATTACTTAGTTGCCTATAAAAAATAGATTAATAAATAAAAATAATAATATATATTTTACTGTATATTTGTGTCTATAAAATATATATTAATATATATATATATAATAATAATAAATTATATTATTTCTTATCAAGTAAAAGCAAAGTTCAACTCACTTAAGCCTAGGTTAACAACGATGCCAAAGCAAAATCAAAGCAAAATTCGAATATAGACCCAAGATATATGTTTTACTATATACATTAACCCATTAAAATCCCCAATTAAACCCCCTTTAACCGCAAAATTTTTCACAATTTCTGTGGAGCTTAGTTGACCTGCTCTCGTTTGATTTTCGCACTCGTCGAGATTAAGTGTTTGTCGCTGTTGTAAAGTGTTTTTTTTTTCCACCTAGGCCGAGCCTGTTTTTTGTCTGGTGATGTGATGTCATCATTACCGGGAATCGGCGGAGCAATTATACAATATTATACAATCAGGCCAACCCGTCGTCTGTGCATATATCCCCATTAAAGCGACGGCGGCTTATTTGTTTATTTCCATTTCACGTCTGTGCAATCCGTACCTTTCCGCAGAGGATCAGGCTCTGAAATAAATATATGTATAAATGACAGATGGAATAATATATATATATATGTATATAGTATTATCGCTCATATAAATCGCAAATTGACAAAGTAAACGCCACTGGCCTTTGCTCTATTAATTTGTGTAAAAATTGATTTTAATAAATAAACAGCCGAGGTGCCTTCGAGTTCGGTTCTCAAATGTTTACCCACCGAGTGGCCAGTGGAGCGACTTTATCAATTTATGTCACCAGAGCCCAGAGTCAGAGCCCAGAGCCGGAGAGGTCAAACACACAGATAGAGATTTTTGATTCGGTTGTGTGCGATGTCTCTCGGGCTTAGTTTTAATTTGCTAAGGTCCCCCTCTGTCCCCCATCCACCCATCTCTGGCAGTGTTTATTTTGAGATTTATTAATACTTAAATCTTCAAGGGATTTTCACTGGTTTTTTTGGGGTTCGGCCTTTTGGGTTTGGCCTGCTAATGGATGGGTTGAGTGGTTGGATTGAATGTCAACTGCGCTGAGATTGGGTTTGTTAATAACGTTGGGTGTTTATTTTTATTTTATTTTATTTATTTTTGACACCCATGAAGGGCACATTGGTTTGATGATTTTATGGGTTCTTTAACATTTATATATTATTTAATATAATTACAATTAAAAGAATATTTAATATATATATAATTTAAAGTCTTACTAAAAGTTATAACAATATAAAAAGGCTTTTAAAAAGTCTTGAAAGGTATTAAATTTAACAAAACACTTAACTTAATCTTCTTAAAAATATTTAATATATATTTTATGAAAGAATTTTAAGCTTAAATAATAATGCAGCCCCAAAAGTATGCCGAAAATATTGAAATTCAATTTTCAATCAAGAAATTTGGCTTGTACATAATATTAAAAATGTTATAAAATATAAAAAAAGGTATACAATTTATATAAAATAAAAAAAATCCAATTAATTATTAAACTAAGTTAATGTTTCTTTATTTTATTAATTATTTATCATTTTTAATTAATAAAATTTGTTTACTTTTAGCATTAAATCAATAAAATCTCCTTATGATACCATATTCCTATCTAATTTTAGTTTATTATTTATAAAAACCTTTAAAAATAATTAAAATAAATTCAATTTTAGTTATATATATTTTACTTCTACATTTTTAGTTCATTTTAATTTAATAAATAAATAAAATAGACTTAAAATACCCTGCAGCATTTGCTTCAACGATTTTGATGGCCAGACAATGTGCAAATAATACAATTAATGGACCACATTTTGTCGCTGAATAGTATATCCTTGGGCCACGGGAATTTCCACAGATCGTACCCATATATAGAGAGCAATTTATTTGCAAACAAAGTGGCACTATATGTAATGCCGGTATTTGGTGTATACATATTTGCAATTGTAATTAAAACCACCTTAATCAAGTGCTCGGTGGGCAGGTCAAACAAACAATAATTAAGTAACAAAAATACTGCCTTTAGTAAATAACAAAAAAAAAAAAATATATATATATATATATTCCCATTTGGGGCGACAATGAGAAATGATTTAACAATAAAATGCAATAAAACGGACTTGCAGGATGAGGGCAGTTCATTGAATTTTATTTATTTTTATTATTAAACGTGTAATCAGTGAGAAGTAAACAATTAAAAATGTTGATTTCACGCGTTCGAATTTTCCCGCTCCCCGATTTTCCCTGAAAAATGCCTCCATGTCCATGGCTGTGGGTGTGAGTGTGTGTGTAATTTAAACCAATTAAACACTCACCAAATAAACAAGCAGCAACAACAAATTCCGCCATTTTCCGGCCCCCCCAACCCCACTTCCCCACCATTTTAAGTATGATTTACAAAATGGCTGCGTGCCAAAAAAATAAAGCCAACAGAAATGGCAGGACGAGTGTGCTGGGGGAAAAAAAAGTGCATCATAAATAAATTTAATACACAAATAAAACTTAACAGAAAAATGGGAAAACAAGCGAGGCCGGGAAATGGAGGTGAAAACGATAATCGATGACTGTCGATAAATGAAAAATATGCGCAAAATGAACACTGAACACCAGGGCACAAAGGAAAAGCGCGACAATTGTGAAAGGAAAGGCGAGACTTTATGAAACTGAAACAGCGTGATCCTTTGACTCAAAGGGATTACAAAATAAGTATACACAAATATCCGGTTCGAATACCATTGCACAAGGAGCGGTAAAAATGTTTGTAAATTGTAATTGCAGGTAATTTTAATAAATTTTTAAATATAATTATTGTTTTTTTTCTTAATCAAAAGTTTTATAAAAAAATGTAATCATTAATAGCAAGTTATTTTTAGCAATTTTACCAGCTAAAAATCGACAAAAGTACAAAAAATCTAAAAATAATAATAATAGCTTTAATCTTGTTAAACTGGCATATAATCTTTAATTTAATCTAAAATCTCTTTATATTCAATACCATTTTTTCAGTACTTAATTTGTATCTATGAAATCTGCTTTAAAAGGGCCACAATTCGTACTTGTTAGCCGCTTTTTATTTCATATTTTTTGTATATATTTAATAGTTAAACACCGACAACACACACAGCCATTTCCCCTAATGTGAGTAATAAAAATATAATATTCTTAATTCGCTTGCTTTTGTGTGTTTGTCATAAATCGATTAATTAATGTTCTGTCTGTGGTTGTTAATTTTCCTCTTTTTTTTCAATAGCATTTCTCTGGCTCTAATTAAATGTGCAGCATATTTGAAATGTCCGGTACTGGCATTGAAATTAATCGTTTCCCTCTCTTTTCTTGCATTATTATTTATACTTTTGTAGCGATTTTTCAGGGCATTTTTCCGCAAAAGTCGACGAAAATATCGACTTGGAATTACAGCTGCTGCTGCCGCTGCTGCTGCCCTGTCATAAATCCAGCGACAAAATAAAAATTGCATAAGGAATAAGAATGCGAAAAGAGTGGACGGCCAAAAGGAAACACAAACACACGAAAAAATGGCAAATAAAATTACGTGAAACAGACGCAGACGATGCTGGCGACAGCATATATATATATCGCCAGGACATTGGGCATATATATACGTTTATGTATTTTGCATGTCGCCTAACTTATATTTGTTTGTTTCGCCTTTTTTTTGGGACGTTTCGGGATCATTGCATGGCTGAAGGGGGGAGAGAGGGGGTGGGAAAGAAGGCGGAACGGGTTGGTGGGTGGGTGGTTGTCCTGCTGAAGTTGAGCCTGGCATAAAGTCAATGATGCACAAAACTACGAGCAGCAGCAGTGGCAACAATGAAACAGGAGGAAATCTCCGAAATAAAGAACAGGAAATGCCCTTTAAGGAGAAGGTTGAGAAATATGGAAAAATCTGTTAATCAAAATTATAATTTTAGGGATAAAATGTATTATAATAAATAAGAATTAATTATTTTAGA